TCTGCTGAGCCCAACAGGTAACACAGCACACTAGTACAATGCTTAAAGCCTGCTTGAAGAAACATTTCTAAGGAAGAACAAGCGTGAAGCAGGAGGAAAAGAAGGGAGCACAAGGGCACAAAAGGGGACAGACATTTGTGCGATGACTTTACATGCACATGAATTTAGAGAAGCGGTGGGAGCTGGCAGGGCACCCACTGGCTGGGAAGGAGCAATGCCAAAGGTCTGCACTCTACCCCGCGTTCAGGGAGCCTGGCAGACGTTATTCCCCTTCTTCTCCCTTGAGCTCCCAGCAGATATTTGCCAATGGCTCAGATGATCAGCAAGCTGGAAACGTGACTCACTGAGAGCAATGGTGAGGAAAGCCCCCAGCCAGGAAGCCAGATGAGTCACAGGGGGACACTGTCGGTCCCAAGAGAAGGAAGGAAGACCAACCAAGGAAAGGCCAACCCAAGAAAACACAGGGCAAGGATGCCTGACAGGGACATGGGACAGGAGGCACTGCTGCCTCCCAGCTTTTTTCCAGCAGCTCCAGTTCTGCCCTGGGCTCGGTGCCTACTTGGCTCCCAGCCCTCTCAAAGGCATTTGAGTGGCTATAGGCCAGCATCACCCACCAGGGCATTGCTGTTTGCACTGACATGCTTTGCATCAGCTGATGTGTTCCTGCCAGAGCCCTGAGCACTCCCATGCCCACAGGACACTTGCCCAGAGCAGAAGTGCTCATAGAGGCAAGGAGGTGTGGGGAAGACCACACACCAGCATGCACTTCCTGGCATGCACTTCCCAAAGCATGCTCCTCAATCTGGGTTATGGTTTCCTTCATCCTCGCTGGCTCCACCACCAACCTTACCATCCAGCTAGGAAATCTCTGCTCTTTCCCAGGCTGGACCCCCTGCCACCAAACTCTCCTCACCATCATGGCTTGGAATCTGGCCATAAGCGACAGGCTGCTCCAAGCCTGGAAGAGAACTGTTAATTAGGTCATTGCTGGAAGCCAAAAAGCAGTGAGTCTATCATGACTTATCCACAAGGCCAGCAAACAGGGGAAGAGGAGCATGCCCATTCCTCATCTTCTCAGGACCCATCAGGTCACCCGTCTGGCTGAGCCCTGTCATTCCTGCCACCGTGTGACCCTACAAGACTGGCAGACAGCAGCACAGGCAGTACTTGCTCATGTTTGCCAGTAAGCACCTTCCCAAAGTCCCTCTGGCAAGCAGTGTTCAAAGCCCCATCCCTACCCTGCTTCCTCTTCGGCTCAGACCTTGCTTTCCAGCATTAATGGCTCACACTTCACACATTCTTACCAGTTCAGATGCCTGCCCCCTGCCACATGGGGACATTTTCCTCCTTAAACTTGTAATTTTACTATATGTGCATTACAACAGAGTTTTACATACAGCTCGCACTACTTAATGCTGCCAGTAACCTTCAAAGCTTCACTGGAAAGCACTTGTCACATCTTAGCCATGGTATTAAATGAAACAGCCAAGCCAGGGCCACCATGCTTTGGCCAACCCTCCTGAAAACCATCTCTCTCCTATGGGCAGTCTTAGTCAAAAGGGAGCTCTGGTGAATCCGAGTTTATTGATTAAACACTCACCACAGGATGAGATCCTGACCTATTTCATGCAATCGAGTAGGCAGCATATTGTTAGCAATACCAGACTAGTCATTATTTTATTATGAAGTTAAGTGGCACTGGTGGTGCTGGGAGAAATAGTGAGCTTGCCCGGAAGCCTTCACCCTTTTTACTGCGGTTGTCAGAGCACTGAAAGATCAATTGAAATTATTACAGATATCCCTTCAGTACCTCCCAGATCTAATACAACATAATCTTCTTCATCTCAAAAAATCATGTCAAGTCATTAGCTAGCAGATAATTCACCTCGCGCTGAGTGCCGCGGCTTGGCAAAGAGCAGGCTGTGCTCTTCAGGCGGCCAAACCCTGAGCATCTCCCAGCCAGCTCACTGCCCACCATGCAGGTCCCCCATAGGAGCCAGGGGAGGGCTGCCCCCAGGCAGGGCTCTCAGGCACACAGGGCCAGCTTGCTTTCAAATCCTGCTCCATTTTATGTCGGTACAGCCACGCTGCTCCTTACATGATGAAAGAAAAAGAAAAAGAGACATCACTGTAAATGACTTAACACTTTTAAAAATTCCCCGTGGCAGGAACAGGAGTATTTCAGAAATATTTTAATTAAATGAGCTCAACATGACACCAGGCGCTCTACACAAATAACTGGCCACATGCATCAATTTTCACACCAGTCCGACTGTGCATGTGGCTTGCAGGCGACGCAAAATCTTATTTTAAAACAAGCTAGTTGAAATTCAAGAATTTTGCCAATTTGCTAAGATCGAGCTCAGCTATGCAAAGCAGCAGAAGCCCCACAGAATCAGATGTACCTGACAGAGTAGGAGGTGTAGAGGAATTATATTTTAACGCGCTTGAAATGCCTCCTTGTTTTGAGCCTGCAAAACTCAGCTGGACCCTTCCCAGAAACAGCGTTGCGGAAGACTTCCACAGAAGCCACTTTTAAGAAGCGTCTATAAAGGATTTCATCCTTTCTGGCACCAAAGAAAATCTAGATTAAAGCTGCACTCAGCAATACAAGGATCAAAAAAGGATGATCCCAAATTCTCCAGAACAAACGCACCAAGCCCCAGCTAGGTAGCACTGGCAGCACTGGAGACATGCCAGGAACACAAAGAGGAAAGCATTTGTGTACATTTACATCATGACAATATAAAAAAATATATAGTTATCACTGTCATTTATAGCTGGGAAGATGCATCAGTTGAGCTCTTGCTCTCCAACTCCCTATAGAGAGTCCCTCGCAACTCAGATCCACAAAACGGGCTAGATTTGGACTTAATATATACATCTTGCTCTGGTGGAGATGTTCTGCTTTGCTCATGGGAGAGTGGCAGCAGGGCGGCAGATCCCAGCCCGGAACAGGAATCTCAGCAATGCTGGCTATGCCTCCTCTCTGCCCCCAGAGGGTCAGGTCTGTATCTAAACAGGAAGCCGTGAGGAAGACAGGCTCAACCAGGCTCAAGATGCTCACCCTCCAGTCCCCACTGCCGGGGGGGCAGCTGCTGCTCATTGCCCCATTCCTTCCTGCTCCCAGCTCAGCACAGGCAGTTACAGGAGGCTTCCAGGATGTTCTCTCCCTTGCACCCCCACTGTTGGGCAGGGCGCTTCCCCACGTCTTTGCATTTAGTAAATAGAGGCAAAGCCCAGTGAGTGGCCAAGCTGAAGGCAGCACTGAGAAAGGGGATTTGCAGCGGCATCTCCCCCTCCTTCACCAACACTGACTGACTGAACAAACTGGGACACAGCACATTCCTCTAAACTGCACTAAAACTATACAAAACCTCAGGGTCAGCAGCTGCTTCACACACCACACATAGAGCCACAGCAGCTTGCTCTTGATGAACTCACATCACTTGCTTTCTGTGCCTAAATAAGCTTTTTCTTCCTCTGTTTTCCCCATGCCAATATTTGGGGACTACTTTATTCCCAAAGAACACAGCTACTCTTCTGCTTTAAGAAGGACACACATTCCTTGACCTCCAGCCATGCCAAAACCAGCATCATGCTCCAGCCCAGTCAGCAAATGCCCTTGCAGTGCCACAGTAACATCTTGCTGCTGGGTGCAAGGCCAATGCAGAACATTGGAAACCAGGGAAGGGCTATACACATAAACTCCCATCACACAAACTATCTTGGCATCCTCTTTAAAACAGCACCCCACAACAAATAAACAGACAATAAAAGTCTCCCTGGCAGATCCCATCTGCAAAAGCATGGTCTTCCAATGACTTGCATCTCTCAACACCTGAGATCAACTCAGATCAGGAACACCTGAGCACATATTTTGAGCACATCATTCACCATGAGAAATCATTATTTTACCCTAAATTGTGTCCTTTCTCTGCCATTCAGAGTTTTATCTATTAGTTTTCTAGACTACGCTTAAGTTTCTTCATATTGGTCAACAAGGACGTTTTGGTGTTTATTTGGTCGGAAGGCTTTTTTCCCTAGGGTTCATCTAAGCCCTCAAAGTTGTCAGGCCAAGGTCCAACCACAAGAGCTGTCTTATGTGAAGAGCAGTCAAGCTCCTGCTGTTTTAAGCCTGGGGGCAGCGAGCTCACCGAGTGTGTGGCTTGTTTGCCTCCTAGAGTGTCCTTGATCCCCTTCTAGTTGTGCAGGTGAGAGGCCAGGGATCAGAAAAGCAGCTCTTCTCCTGGCTATTGGCCAAGCATTATATGGCGAGAGTTCCCCATATCCTGACTGTAATTATTTTGGGAAGCCAGATGACTTCATTGCCAGCTGACATCCCTTGACCTACTCGCTGTTAGACAAGCTTGCTTCTGGCAGGCCCCAGAGCTCGTTACTCAGCACTTGAATTTGCACATTGCCATTTACCGGTCACTAACATGCTGGTGTATCGAGGCAGCACCCAAATTTTCATGCAGCTGAAATGCTTATGCAAGCAGTAAAATACAAACGTGCCTCTTCACAAGTAGTTTGCTGTTACCTTTCAGTTGGGACTGACACATGAGAAAATCCTCTGAATCACGGACATGCTACAGTTTCCGTCCAGTGCCAACAGCCCCTCATCCCACACTCACCTTCCACCTCATCCCTGCTGCCACAGCACATGCTCCTGCATGGGTCATAGCACTGGGAGCATGGATACAGCCCTGCTACTACCTGGACTGTAGCTAACCCCAGCCACAGCACACAGGATACCAGGTACCACAGGGAACAGCTAGTGCCAGAGATGATCAAATGTGACGGTGTGGCACATGAAGTTTGCAGGCATTGTGCTTGGGTAACATGGAGAGCTCAATGGAGAGAGGGACAGTGAAAAATACAGTTACAAATAACTTGGAGGACAGGACTTATGCGAGAGAAGGCTGTAAGTGGAGATGGAGGACCGGTGATCCTGCCACCCCAGCACAGAGGGGAAGGAACATCCTCACCACACTCACCCTGATCCGCCGCATGGCTGTCACAATCTCCACTCTGCTGTTCGGCCGTGGCACATCCAGGCTCCCAATGTACTGAAGAGAACGAAAGAGCAGATTAGTCAAGTTTCCATGGCACCAGAAACCTCATGGTCCCACTATGGCTTCAACTGCATCCCCAGAGGGAACCGAGGGTCACTTCTGCAAAACAGGCATCATTTTGCCTACTGCACCTGAAGCCTCATAGCCCTCCCACCATGAAGATGTTCCCTCAACACAGTGCTTCAAGAATTTAGCAGCCCTTATTCTAACAATAAAATAACTTCAGTAATCAGGCCACCAAACCTCATTCATCTAAGCTGTGATCAAAGTATGTAGTTATAAGCCAATATCCCCTCAGCTGCACTGAGTCACCCACTATAGAACTGGATACTGGAATATCCTTAAAATAGCTGGAGCAACCTGTCCTGTGACAGGCCCTTCAGTGTTTAATTACAGCCCTTCCAAACCCTTGTCTGTTTTTGCAGCAATGCTGAGCCTCCAGGCCAAGCCTCCGGAATAAAGGAGCCGTTTTGCTATTCAAAGGGGACCAAAGGCAGCGCCACTGCAACCCAGCACGGAGAGATGCTGAACAAAAACCTTTTTAAAGATAAAATGGAAGAGGGCAGATTCAGAAGAAGGTTCAGAAAACAGACAAGCAATGAAGAGTCAATGCTAAGCACTAAAAACGTGTAGTTAGAAGAAAAGCGTTTTGAGTCTATTTACTAGCCCCGTGTGCTCCCACGCTTCATCTCGACACTAGCGCTGACGTAACTCTCAGCAGAGCAGCACGGGCACTAAACCCAACAGGGCTATGTGTTCCTGTGAATACAGCCACAGCCTTCACTGACAGCATGAAAACCCAGGTCACTGGTTTCAAGCACTATTGTGGAGATGGGTGCTTAAATGGCTGAACATGCGCTAGGGATCACTGTAGAAGCAAAGACCATGGAGGGGGATTATTTCTCACCCTGCTGACTCCCAGCTCCTCTCCACTAGGACACTGTTGTCACCTCTATCCATGGCACAGCCCTGTGGCTGCATAACCACGTCTGGGCTTTGTGTGTGCATGCTGTCCCAGTGAGCCTTCCTTGCTAACTCTCCACATCCCAAACTCAACAGGGCCACCAGCTTGGTGCAGCCATCCCCAGCTGCACGGCTTCTGCCCCGGCTGGAGATGGGGCAGGAGTCCAGCGACTGGCACCCAGCAGCCAGTGCTGAGAGGAGATGAGGATATAAAAATAAACACCAAACAGCTGGCGTGTTCATCACGTGCTGAGCGCAGGGCAGCTTTATGTAACTGGGAATTACAGCCCACAACGAAGGCTGCTGGCAAACATGGTTTTAGCTGTGCAGACCCCAACCACTGGCTGCCTGACTACAAAAGCACAGGTCTCGGTAAGTTTTCAGTTGCATCCCCTAAACAGAGCCTTCCCACTCCTCAGAGGTGCAGGTCATATTAAGAGAAGCATCTTTGACATCAAGCAATTCCTTTTTCTTATATAAAGCCTGGAAACCATCAATAAAAAGTAGGAGACAACAAGAAGGGCCAAGGCCATGGGCACAGGGTCATCATGCAGTATATAAGGAAGAGATCTTTCCCCACCGTCCCTTGCCAGGCAAAAGTCGCAGCTGCACAGCACCTCTCCCACCAAGCCTCCCCATGCTGCTCTTCTGCAGAGGACCACCCAGCACTGCTTCCCACTCAACTGCAATGGACGCTTCTCAGCTTAAATGACAAGGACAGACTTTTGCAGCCAGAGGATGCCTATCTTCTACTAGCTATTCCTGACAGCATGAGATCACTGCCAGCAGAGGGGTAATCACTTCTCCCCGTTTTCCTTCCCCAGGCAAGCACAGAACGCATCCACTTGCAAGGACAAGGTGAGCAGTGGAAGCTATAAGCTGGGCAGAAGAAGGCCCCATCCACCAATAGCTTCCATAGCCACATGAATTCAAGCAATGCCAACCTCCTGGCCACAGCAGCAACGCTCAGTCATGTCCATAATTGCATGCGTGAGCTTGAGAGGGCTGGGCCACCCCAAAAGCAAGTGATGGAACAGAAACCAGACACCTCCTGGGATGGGGCAGCACCTCCTTGGACAGCCCTCCTAGGAAACAGCAGTAGGAATGTCTTGATGCTGCCCCACCTACACCCCTTTGTTCAGCTATTTCCCTCCAGCCTGTGTTCCCATGTACCCAAACCAAGGGGCTCCAGTCACAAAGCATGGAAGATTTGCCTCTGCTCCCAAACTTGGGCTCCTGCACGTCCTGCTTCATCATGCATCCTGTGGGAGTGTGCCCCCACCAGAGCCTGCGGCACCTCCTGCCCCAGCGTGGGCTCACTTCACACAATTACTGCTCTCACAACTCCAAAAACACCCACCTCTTCCTCCGCTCTGGAGGTAGGTATTTCTTGAATGTTTCACTAAACTCAACAGATGGACAAAGTCTCCGCAAATTATTTTTGCCTTCTGGGCATAAATCACATGCGGGAACTGCACTGCAGAGGAGTAACCCTTCACAACGTGGTGAATGTTGCCCAAAAAAATGTGCACTTGGAGGTCAGCCTGTCAGCTAAACTACAATTTCCCAGGCAAGGAGTGCGGATGGCCTGAGAAATCATCTGTATTTACCAGTCATTTGCAGGCAATAAGTGCATCGAGGGCTGCTCTTGCTCTGCTCTCCTCCAGCCCTCCTACTCACAGCACTGACCTTCATTCTAGGCACAGGTGTGGGGAAAAAGCAGGCAAGGCAGAGGTGAGGATCAGCAAAGCAGCAGGGTACAGGATTCCCCATTCATTCCACTCCAATGCTGAAACCCACTCCCAAGGACCCCAGAGCATGGGGGCTCCCAGACCCCAAGCATGGACTTCTGCCTTCCTCTATAATCCATGTGCCCCAAGCAAGGTGCTAGGTGCAGCAGTGGTCCTGGTCCCCACAGGGGCCCATGTCCCAGCTCCCAAGCCTCAGGCCAGCATCTGTGCCAGCAGGTTGACCCCGCAGGAAAGGGAGGCAGCAGGGCTGGGTCTGAGCATGGGGAGGAGAAAGGAAGGCGCCCACAACAAAAGGAAGGAAAATAAAGCTGTGTGAAAGAAAACTGACAAAGAAAATGAACCCATGAAAGAACCCACCCTCCCCAAGCCCCCAGGAACCGAGGAGAAAACCATATGTATGCATGCAGGACACAGCTTTTCCAAACAACCACCTCCAGACCCATGGCCCCACCACCCTGCAGTTGATGGGGGGCAGAGGTGGAGCCTCCCTCCTGCACCCAAGAGCCAGGCAGGCTCAGCAGGTCGCTGATCCCCACGCTCTGAAGGTGGGAGGCACGGCTGGCAGGGTGGGGAGGGCAGCCCTCTTCTCCCCGGCCCAATTAGGAGAAGAAAGGTCACTCACTCATAGAGCCAGTGAATGGGTGGCCAAGGGGGTCCCTTCTGTAAGGAGGTGCTCTGGCAGCCCCACAAAGGCAGCCCTCGGACTGCAAACAGACAGAGCTGTGCGGGCTGTGTCGCCCAGCAGCACAGTGGGCAGGCACAAAGGACCTATTTTGCAGGGTGCTTTCAGGTCCCCAGGCACCCTGCTGCTCCTCAGCCTCGTGTGTGGGATCCAGCCTTCCATCGGTAGTTCCAGGGCCACTCTCCCTGCCATGGCTTGGTGGCCGTCACCCATCTGGCTTCTCAGCACCAGAAGGGAGCTTGTCCACTGTACCCCCCCAGTGCAAACAGGCTCCCCTGTCTGTCCCAGGCACAGCTGAAAGGGGCCTCCAGATACAGCCCACACCATGCACCCTCTGCCCATGGCTTACAAAAGACCTGTCCAGCTCAAGGAAACACCAGTCCTGCCTTGGCCAGAGGGAAAAAAGAAAACAAGAAAACAAAGGAGAGCATTTTGCCAAAGCACTGTTTGCACAAGTCACTTAGTTTCTCATTTTCCCTTAAGGCTGTTAAATGCTGCTTGTTTTCTACTCTGTCACAAGTGAATTTCCTTGAGAAGCTGCTTTTTTGTGACAGCAGGTGGCAGATATTTTCAGAAAGCCAAAGGCCGATTGCATCCCTGACAGGGAACACCTTTCAAGGGGTGTTGATGAGATCCCTTGCAGGTGATGGGCAGTGGTGGGCAGCAAAAGGCTTTCTGGAGAGGAGCTGCCACCCTCCTGAGGGAGGCATGCCATTGCTCTGCCAGCCCAATACTGTGTGCAAAGGTCAGCGCTGAATCATACCCAACTAACAGGGGAGCCCACATTGCCTGGCTACTGGGTTTCCAGCTTCTAAAGCCAGTCTGAGTTAGAGAGCTTGCCAGGGATGAGGAGCCACTGCTCCTTCAGAGGAGCTGCAGGCAGGCAGGCGGGCAAGCGCAAGCAAAGGAGACAGGCTGGCACCAGCTCAGGCTGGGGCATCACACCAAGGGCTCCACAGCCATCCCCAGGGACAAGAGTCTTGTCCAAACAGGGGATCCTCAGCCTGGGCTGGCAAGGGATTACTGAAGGTACCAGCAGCGGGGTTGGAGACATCAGATATGGGCCACAAGGGTCCCAAGGTTTCTGCAGAATTCAGGGCAGCGTGAGGCTGCACCAGGTACTGAGACATTGGCCCCATAATACACGTCTGAGCCACAAAGCGAGGCTCAAGGTGCTTGGGCACCAGTTCCCAGCCAGGTGCTCCAAGATCTGAAGCCTCTTTATTTCCCCAGTGCCTGGCTAGTAAGAGCTTCTTCCCAGGCTGCTGCCATCAGGGAAAGCAAGGAGAAATCCAGCTCCCAGGACTTTTTCTGTGCCAGTGCTCCTGCTCTCCTGCTGTCCACACACAGCCTCTGCCCAGGGAGCCAAAGGCTGGGCTTGCACAGCCTGGCTCTGCCCTGCACAGCAGGAACACCCAGCCTTGCTGGAAGGAAAAGGGGGAAGTTTACTCAGACTGTAGTGGCGCAAGTTCAGAGGCCAAAGGGGGTGGAAAAGTCAGGATGCCAGCTGACTGGAATGGAAACGCACCCCACCTTTCCAGCTTGAGCTCAGCAGGAGGGTGCAGGGGGCTTTCTGTTGGGCTGGAGGGCGCCAGCCC